TTTAATCTTCAAGTTAATAAACCTTCACATAGAGATTCTAATAAACAAAAACAAAATATTCTTGGAAATACTATCTGCCTTGAAAAAAGATGTAATCATGAATGTGAGTAATTACTATAGATAGGAAAGAACCCATTTATTAAGGACTCCTATGTGCCAGTCAAAGCACTAACTGCTTTACACATTATGTCATTCAATCCTTACAACCCTGAGAGGTAGGTATTATTAGCTCTACCATACAGGTGAAGTAACTGAGGCTCCAAGAAGTCATTTGCTTAAGATCACAAAGTCAGCAGCAGCACGACCAGTCCTGGAACTCAGGTCAGATTCTCTCAGATGCTCATGATTTTCCCTAAATTTTTATGGGATTTAATTTCAAAGCATTTTCATTTACTTTGGGTCATTCCATCCTCCCAACAACAGATTGATATTGAACACAATCATAGGATTGTCCCTTTTAACAGAAGTCACAGAGCCAGAATTAGAAGCTAGGTTTATAGCAATCACCATCATCTCAGTTACCTTTTATTCAGTGCCTTCTATGTGCTAGACTCTGTGATGAGTACTTTTTATACTCCCTACCCCATCGTAATCCTCATAATAACCTTATGAGGTGGGCATTATTATTAAGAAAATCAAGACTCAGAGGAGCCAACAACTTGCCCAAGATGATAAAGTAGCAAGTCAGGACTAGAACTCAAGTTTATTATAAAGATAGCACAATTGATAAAATCAGCTGCCATTTATTGAGTGCTTATCGTGTAAGATACTGCTTTTTAAAACAAACATTTTATTTTGACATAATTTGAGATTTACAATTGGCATTGCTCTTTTAATGCTCACAATAACCCTATGAAGGTACTATGATCCCTATTTTACAGATGAGGAACAAAGACTTTTTCTTGGAGAAGTAATTTTCTCCAAGAGCATACAAAGGGGAAGGAGGTAGAGCTAGGATTTGGAAGCTGATCTCTTTAACTCCAAGACCTATTATTATCATTATTATTATTATTTTACACGCCTACAGCATCTGGTATTCCTTGGTGGTCTCACCATCCAAGTACTGACCAGGCCTGACCCTACTTAGCTTCCAAGATCAGACAAGATCGGGCACAGACAAGACTTATTTCCTTAACCATGTAGACAAGACCTATTTCCTTAACCATGAGGCTTTGCTGACTCCTGTTCTGTCTCCATACACCCTTGCTTCCCAAAGTGCGGTCCACAGATCAGCAGCATTGGCATCACCTGGGAGCTTGTTATAAATGTGGAATCCCAAGCTCTGCCCCAGACCTACGGAATCAGAAGTGTATTTTAGCAAGATGCCCACACGATTCTTGCGCACGTTCAACTTAGAGAAGCACTGCATGCAACTCCATCAGCAAGAAGCAGAATAACACAGAGAAGAGAGCAAGATTGTCTAGAACAGAGATTCGCAAACATGTTCCCTTGGAAATCAGTTTTGATCTGGAGGAAGACGTGTTCTGCTGCTAACCTTGATAATGGTGCCTTTTCTCAATTCATAGAAAAAAAATAGTTAACAAATTCTATCATCTCATCCTTTTTTCCCATAGCTTTTCCTCTCTTTTTTTGGAGTATCATTAGAAGACAACAATTGAACGGTAGTAAAGAAATCCCTATGGAAAACTTGGAAGTATTTAATTATTGTATTTTTTTCTTTAATTTAGGGTTTCTTAATTCTTGGATTTGTGATTGGGATTTTACATTGCATAATCGAGAATAGTCATACTTTCTACTAGTAAACTTGTTTCTAATTCACACGGAAGAATTAAATGGTGTTTCACAAAAAGGACCTGATCACCACCTACATGAACATGAAGACCAAGGCTTCAGAATCTCTCTAGAAATCATCTAAGCAAAAGGAACTGGTCATAGAAAGTAAAGTTAGAAAGGCTAATAATGTATTTCTCACCTATCTCTCTCCTCCAGTGAGGACCAACATTGATAGATACAAATATAAATTACTTGTTCTTTCTGGATAGTAGAAATATGAGCGGTTTTTATATTCTCCCTCATGCTTTCCTGAATATTCAAAAATCTACAGTAAACATTCATTCATTCAGCAAATATCTAATGAGCACCTACTAAGGGACAGGCACTGTTTAGGTGCTGGAGATACAGCAGTGAACGAGCCAGACAAAAATCACTTGTCCTGATGTCAGGATCTTTGGGCTTTTCCTCTCTGGCTGATCAAATTCCTTGAATAAGACGCTTTAAGTTTCCTCTCTGACGGGTAAACATCTGGTAGCCAGAGATCTAGGAACTGAATGGAGGAAGAGGGCTATGAATCTTAGCATCCAGTATCCATAAATTCACTTAATCTCTCTGTTCATACGGAGACCTCCTTTTTAACCCTCTCTTGAGAATAAAGACATCAGTTTTTTTTTTTGTTTTTTGTTTTGAAAGGAAGCGGTACAGTTAAAGAAGGGAGAGATGACCTGGAAACCTAACAGCTCTTAAACAGTTTGCAAAATCCTCATTTTAATCCCAGCCCTGCTGTCCTATACCTCCAGGTTTCTCCAGGTTGGTAACTTACTTTATTTGCTTTCCAACTTCTACATTTTTTGTTGTTGCTACTGGCTCTTCTCATTATTGTGGGTTTATGCTTTTAAAAATCCAGTGATTAACATTTTTTTTTACACCTACAGTACCTGGTCTTCCTAGGTGGTCTCCCATCCAAGTACTAACCAGGCCTGACCCTGCTTAGCTTCCAATATCAGCCGGATTGGGCTTGTTCAGGGTAGCATGGCCATAGACTAGAGATTAACATTGTAGTGGTGTTCCAGGAGGGAACAAAAGTAGATCATCTTCATTAACTGCTTAACTCTTATTACTTTCAGGAAATATTGTCCTATAGTAATTTAAATCCTCTCTTATTATCATCAAATCTTTATTTCCCCCTATTTATTCTTAAAATTGGATATTTGAATAAAATATATATTTTTATTTGTATGCGATTGTAATTCAGGAAGCATTCATTGTCATTCATGTCTTTTAAGATTTTAAATAGCAGGAAACGAATGATCACTTTCCTCAACAGATCAAAAATGGGTGTGAGACATACTCATACATATTAAAAATTACGTATGTAGATTAGTTACTGCAGTATTATTTGTAACACCAAAAGACTTCAAAAACCTAATGGTCCATCAATAGAGGACTTGTTAAATAAAACATCACAATCCATATAGCAGTAAATTACACAATTAAAAAGAACAAAGCAGAACTTTATGTTTTGGTGTGGAAAGTATATAAAGGCAGAATAGAGTTAGTATAGCATGCTATCATTTGCATTTAAAAATACTATCTCTATAGTATCCGCATCTATAACAGTGATTACCTCCTGGGAGGGTACTAGGTGACTGGGAGACAGGGAGTAGAAGGAAGACTTAGTTTTCCTTTGTATACCATTTGCACCATTTGAATTTTATACTAAGATCTTACAGTATTTAAAAAATAAAGTACTAACGAATTTTTAAAAGAATGAGTTCCATGACCTTTACCTGACATAATGCCCTCCCTGATTACTTCCACCTATCCAAATTTTCCTGTCTTCAAGATAGATATTAATTCCCAATTCCTTCCCTGGACAACTCCAGCCTAAGTACTCTCTCATCTGATCTCCTTTGCTAGAAGTTATTGTGTGTGGCCAAGTCATCACACATTGCTTTCTTATTCTTCTTCCTCTCCCCCTCCTCCTCCTCCTCCTCCTCCTCCTCCTCCTCTTCTTTTTTAAAATAGTATCAACTGTCTTGTATTGAACTTTCCATTTTGTATTTTCATTTCTGTTTTACTGAACCTTTTATGGGTTGCATAGAGGTCTTGCAAAGATGAAGAATAGCCAGTGAAGAATATGTGAGCAAGTAAAAGGAAGTATATGAGAAGGAGCTTGAGGCTCCAGGAGCCTTCAAAGGCATTTACCAAATAAAGATTTGTATGAACCAGTGACCCCTTTTTATAAAATGTTAAAAGGTAAAGCCTTCACATTTTTACAGTGCATTAATCCAATTATCATGACATTACTTAGCTCAGAGCACTTGCACTGAAGAGATGAGATATTGGGAAACAGAAGCAAAGATTTCGAAGCAAGACTCAAAATTTTAGAGTCCAAAGGGCTTAAAGATCAACTAGTCCAATCCCTTCATAGGTCCCTAGGCAAGCAAGGCATTGGGGGAGTTCAGACTCAAACTCAAGTCTTTTCTTAAGGAATTATAGCTGGAGAAGAGGTCTGGCGTGGGTGAAAGAAAGGGTCTTTCTACAGCAAGAAAGACAAGAGGGCTCTGTGCCTGGAAAAGAGAAGGAAGAACGGGAGGCGAAAATGAGGTGGTCATCGAATTTTGTCTCCTTCGTTATTGTGTTCAGGGCTCCGTGACAGTCTGTGTGAATAAAAGTCTCTATATTAACAGAAACCAAGTTAAGATAATCAGAACTGGTTTGGAAGGTTACAAACCTCAACTTCCCCTTATCCAGCTTGGTCTCTCTAGTTTGAGAAACCAATTTTCATTTTAAAGCTCTTTAATGACCCTCTTAAATGACTCTTTTACACCCCCTTTTCCATACCTGGAGAAGGAAAGTCGGAAAAGGAGGACGTAATACAAACGAGAGATTTACCTATTTCCAGGGTATTTTCAGCCAGCATTCCAGTATTTACTGTACCCGGAAAGTCAGAGGCATTTTAGGGTAGCCATGGAGATGTTATTGGCCTCCGCCTCGTTTCCTTCCTTTTCTTTGCTATTAAAATCTTTTACTCTGATTTTAGTAAGGGACCACACTTTTGCTGGCATCCAGGTTCTGCGCTCCTCTCTCTGCTCGGGGACATTTAGGCAGAAGGAACACGTTTTTAAGCGAGAGCGTGTAGCTACAAGAACTGATGAGGTTTATACTAAAGGGGGATGAATCCCATGCACAGTCTCTGGGTTGGGACTACAAGTCCCAGGAGACACCGCAGCAACGGCACGCTTCAGTAATCCCTTCCCTCACTCTTCTGGATGGTGGAGAGAAAGGTTCCGTTCGCAGCGGCACAGCGGGCCGGTTGTTTTCAACGGCGGTGACGGAGTTGGTAGCCCGGCCGACTGCAGGCGGGGGCGTTAGGAGGCGGATTCCTTCTCCCTCAAGTACTGGGGGCGGGGAGGAGGGAAGCTGGGCCAGCGGGCCGGGGACCGAGCCGCGAAGTCCCAGCGGGCCGAGATGGAGGGCGACGGCGTGCGGTGGGGCAGCGAGTCGGTGCCGGGTCCCGGCCCTGGAGGCGGCGGAATGATCCGGGACCTGTGCCGGGGCTTCGGCCGTTACCGCCGCTACCTGGGACGGCTACGGCAGAACCTGCGCGAAACCCAGAAGTTCTTTCGTGACATCAAGGGCTCCCACAGCCACAGTTGTCCCTCCTCCCCCACGAGCGATGGCGGGGCCCAGCGCGGCCCAGCCGGCGATGTCGCCGAGACCGGGCTGCAGGCTGGTAAGGAGGGCAGCCGCGAGGAAGAGAGGGCCGGAGAGGCAAATTGGAAGGTGGACCGCGCCCCTGCTCTGCAAAACAAAACCCCGGGAAAAGGCAGAAAGTGGGAGGAGGGCCGCGTGGCCGGGCCCGTGGGCCTCCGCCGGCGGAATCCAAGATGCTTTGGGAGGGCATCCCTCCGGTGTGTGTGGGGTGAGGGGCAGAGCGCGAGGGCTCAGCCGGCGGACCTGGGGGCAAGGGGCGCCCAGAGGCAGGAGTTCCAGGAGCAGGATCCAGGGGACCCTGTTCGCGGGCGGGAGCGCGGAAGGCCTGTGTTTGGCGAGAGCGGGCGGTTAACCCGAGGAGTGGGAGGATTGCCCTGAGTTGGGGGCTGGGCAGTTGTGGTTCATAGTCCCAGTTTAGGGGTGAAGGAATGGAGGAGGGGCAGGAGAGGAGGCAGATTTCCCCAGGACCCTGTGGAGGCCAGGGAACTGTAGTGTATCGAGTGTGTGTGTGTTGTGCGTGCGTGTGTGTTTGTGTATGTGAAATGCTTTTACACCAATCATGAGGCTACTCTGTTAAGAAGTAAGGAATGTGCCCGAAATAGGGCTGGGGTCGTAAAGGAAATGATACCTGATGCGTGGCAGGGAATTGCTAGAGAAGTTGCTTGTCCTTATGGTGAAGAAGGGGTCATTTTTGGTCCTGAGACTTCTTGACATGATTCTCTCTGGGATGTGTTAGAAGCCCTGAAGCTCTTAAAATCGTGCAGGGTTTTTGATCTTTCCTAATTTCTTGCTTCCTCTTAAAAAATGGTTTGCTGTTGGTGGGGGAACTGGAGGATTTGTGAACTACTGTATCTAATTAGGAAATAACGTAGGGACTGGCATCTCATATAGACAGATACCTTAGGGACAACGTAGCAAGGAAGTCAGTGGGTTTAATTTAGTGATTCTCAAACTTAAGTATGTATTAAAATCAAATTAAAAAATGTCTCAGGCTCTATTCCCCAGATTGATTAAGGTCTAGTGGGTGGGGCCTAAGAATCTAAACATAAAAATACCTCGGGATTCTCATGCGAGTGGTCTGCAGACACATTTCAGAAACAGGTGTAGATGCTGATGGCAAATTTGAACATGGGACTCAGAATGGAATGAATTGTTAGACTCTTCGCAGTTTGTGTGTTGGGTCTTATATTTCCAAAGTTTCAGGTTTAATATCCTAAATTTGTCTGAGACTCCAGAAATGGTGATAAAAATAAGATAGTGAGATTCCGATGTGGTCTTAAATGATATTATTGCATTTAGTTAGCCTAGATGTAAATAAAAAAGCTTTTATTTTACCTCATGGGTTAAATGGAAGGAGGAGGACGACTAGTGTTCCGGAGAGGAGAATTCCCCCTCCCCCTCTTCTTTAACTCATAATTAAATAGTAAAATTGATACAAGACTAGGTTAATAGGAGAAAAAAAAATAATATGTGCATATGAGAGAATAATATTATCAGATCATAAAATGAGGCTCAAAGAAATGATCCAGCCAGGCACTTTTTTATACTTTTTAGACAAACGATAAATTTGTGACAAATTGACAAGACAAAGAAAGTTAGTGCTTATTAGAGAAAGAATCCAAGCAAGATTTGCGTATTCTTTGGTGAGGAATCCAAACAAAGTTTGGGCTTGAGTGGTAAGTTAGTAAAGGCTTACGAGGCTTGTTTATACAGGCTTTTGACTCTGGATTCTTTTAACTTGTGATAAGGTTGTCTCAGCCCTCAGGAGCTGGGAGGGCACCCACCACATGGGAGATTTGTAGGAGGGACAGACAGGGTCAGGGTTTTCTTCTTCTACAGGTGGATTAAGTAACTTTATAATTCAAAATACTCCATATACCATTGTGGGATATCTTGGGATAGCCTGCCCTGGACCCAGACATTGGCTTTTCTGAAATTGTGGTTTTGATGTTATGCCCAGAGATTTGCTGTTCTGAAAATGGACTTATAGAGGGGCCTGATATCTGTGAGGCTATCAGAAAACTGTTGAGAAGGGCTAATGTTTACAGAGATGACCCCCAGAATCTGTACTTTCACCCTCTCTTCCTTAGCAGTCCTCTTCCCTGCTCACAGGGTTTTCTTAGAGTTTATCTAAAAACAAAACAAAAGAAAAACTTATATTGCTGATATTTTATTTTATTTATTTTTTTAACGCCTACAGCACCTGGTCTTCCTAGGTGGTCTCCCATCCAAGTACTAACCAGGCCTGACCCTGCTTAGCTTCCGAGATCAGACGAGATCGGGCACGTTCAGGGTGGCACTGCAGTAGACTATTGCTGATATTTTATAATACCTATTTATTTTAGAATTACAAAAAAAAATCAGAGTAGATTCACTTCAGAGGTGAAGGTTTTTAGGGCACCTAGATTGGCTCTTGTTTTTATTCTTTAAAAGCCAACTTAACAAATACAAATGCACTTTGGTATTTTGCCTCATTGTCTTTGGAAGTTGACTGCATTATGAACTAATCTTAGTGTATTTAACTCTCTTCACCCTCCACTTGAAATAAAAACCAGGAGGAAGGTACAGATGACAGGACTGGGAGAAATTTGATTTTGTAATGTAAAATGCTTCCATTCCTTTCAGTATGGAGAGTTTTATCTTTGGAGGTGAAAATGCACATCCGAGAAAATGAATGAGGTGACACATATATTTATATTTATGTGGAGAAGTTATTTTTCTAGCTACTTAGGTAATTGTGTTAGAAAGTAGCAACTACTCTTTAAAAGACAACTAGCTCTTGTTCTCTCCTTTTACAGGCTATCTTTGCAAGGTCAAGTTCATTCAGAGACTATCTCAACTTTCTTATGTGAGTGTTGGTTTCTGATTAATAGGAACTTGGAATGTTATGAGAAGAGGCACTCAATTCTTTACCTAATAAACATTAGAAGGTTTTAATTATATCAGGATGAAGTGTGTTTCTGGATTGGATGTAGTATGGTATTTGAGCAACTGAAGATTATGGATAAACTCTTAAGTTTTATTTCGCTTTTAACCACAAAGAATGGGAAAGATCACAAAATAATGCTTTCTTCTTAATTTTGACAGTGTTGTATTCACAAGGTACAATGTAGAGAGTATATAACATACCAGGGGCAATGTAGAGTATATAATGTATGTGATGCTTTAGAAGTTAAAAAGTAGGTGTAATAGAACTCTAAAATGAGAGTAGCTTGGTCTGTAACAAAGAAAACTGAGTTCCTTTGCTGCCCAAATCATTGGCCATCTTTTCACTTAGCTGCAAGGCATCAGAGCCCTTCTATCTGTTGATTTTCCTCTGTCAGAGGGTTCAGAAGTAATGAAATAAAGACTTCGAGCACTTCTGAAGAAAGGCAGAATGTAGTATTAACAAAGTAGCAGAGGGAAAAGTATTTTTCTTGATTGCAGTATATCATAAACCTCAATTTTAAGAAATCGGAGTGACTCTTCTGTATCTAGTTGGAATGCTCTAGTCTGTGCTGCATTCCTTCAATCCTGGTTCCACTCCTTACTGACTGAATGACCTTGGGCAAGTCACGGCTGTGCTGGGCCACAGTTTCCTTGTCTGGAAATGGAGATTATGATAATAGTAATTGCCTCTAGGATTCTTGGGAGTTAATATATGTGTTTAAAATAGTGCCTGGTACTGCTATTATTATTCAATAAACAAAGACACTGGCTTTGACCTTGGGTTAGTGGAACTCAGTCTCTTCCTTTTATACTTTTCTGCTAAGAAAAAAAATATATAAATATCAACATTACAGTATACCTATTTGTTTGTGTCAGGTGAAATTTGATTAAAAGGACCAGGAAGACCTCAACTCGGTCCCTTAGAAAGGTATACTCTAATCTTAACCATGTATGTATTCAATACATAAAACAGAAGAATGGCAGGAAGCTAAGGTATGGCTAGATTACAGGCATTTTATGTGAATTATAATTCTTAGGTTTTCAGAGCTTTTTGCTTTTGGTTAGCCAACAGCTTGATTTCTCCAACATTCTTCACCCTCTATTTGTCACAGCTAGTGTAAACTGGTTGCCAGAAATAAAAAGAAGAGGAAAAGCACTAGTGCACTTATTTAAAGCAGACATTTTTCTTGGACTCAGACAGAAAGTTTTGTGGATAATAAAGTTTAAGTGGCTGAGTGACATCTGGGGAGGGGACAGAAAGTTGAGAGAGAGGAAATTCTTTACAGCCGGTATCATAGAGCTGCCTGCCATCTTCATGGGGCTGAAGGGTGGGGAGAAATTGGGGTTGTGGGTGGGCCAGCAAGATACTGGAGTGGGTGTGCCTTCTAGTAGTTTGCCATGATCTGTTTAGAAGAGCTGCCTCAGCATTTCAATATAAGCTCAGCAGAGATGGTGCTATAATTGTGGTTTTTATTTTATTACCTTGGATGAATAAAACCCCATTTTCTCAAGTATATCTACAATTTTCACTTTCTCAGTTTTCTTCCCGTGTGGAAGCAGCATACAATGGTCAAAAGCAAACACAAGCATTTACATCAGACCTGGGTTCCTGTTCTGGTTCAGCCTCTTATAACTGTGTGACTTGAGGCAAGTTAGTTAACCTATTTGAATCTTGTTTTTTTCATATGTATAATACATATGAGTAATACAAAATGCCATGTATTTTATGATTCTATTTATATGAAATGTCCATAGGCAAATAATAAAGATAGAAATTCGAGATTAATGATTGCCAGGGGTTGGGGAGAGAGGAAAATGAGTGACTGCTAATGAGTATAGCAGGGGTCCCCAATCCCTGGTACTTGTCAGTGGGCTGTTAGGAATCAGGCCACACAGCAGGAGGTGAGTGGTGGTTGAGCAAGCAAAGCTTCATCTGTATTTGCAGCCGCTCCCCAGCGCTAGAATCACTGCGTCAGCTCCACCTCAGATCATCAGCCATTAGGTTCTCATAGTAGCACTGGCCCCTGGTGCCAAAAAGGTCAGGGACCGCTGGGGTATAGGATTTCTTTTGGAGGAATGAAAATGCTCTGG